ACGCGGAAATTGGAAGGGATCTGAATGCACACATTACAGATTGTACACATGCATTGCTAATTGGCCAATTTAAAAATAAAATATTCTTACTGATAAAGCAGTGAAAAATTACTAGGCATCATCTGGGGTGTTATTCTGTAACTATCGGTAAGTGTATAAAAACAGTTACAGAATAGCATCCTTGATGTGAATGTGAGTAGTGTGCAATCGGAAATGTTGACATTCAGATTCCTCTCGCGGAAATTATTCATTTGCATCCATATATTCTTGTTAATTTTGTTATCAAAATGGTGAGAACCTCATTTTTACTTGATCTTATATTTTTTTTGGTCACAAAAACATTCATAAAAATCAAAAGCGATATGTCATGATGATTCTATTATTACCACAATATGGCCATTAATTTTTGTACAGATTATTTAATAATAGATAATTAGATAATTCTTTTTTAGCATAAGTGTATGCATTTTTAATATAAATGTCAGATTGTAGGCGATCTAAACGAAAGGGAAAAAAAATGATAAAATTACCTATCTTCTATATACACGATTATAGTATTCAATAAAAAATATTTTTTTTAGTTCAAGAACAATAGTGATCATTTTTTGTAGTTTTTTTGAGCGCTTATTATGCAATTTTTATAATTATTTTTTTGTACATATGGGTAATTCTTTCGAAAACCAGGGGCGGTCATCACGTGTTGGGTCCTAAGAGCCCGAACTAGACCATTATATGACTACACAATAATTAGGAAATAAGTTCAAAAATTTATTTTTGAAACATAATAAACATAACAAATTTTTTTGGGCTAAAAATTCTAACGACATACTTAATTTTGATTGCAATAAACCTTTTCTAACATATCTAATCATAATATGTTAAGGTACATTAACACTTTCCTTTTTGCAGTTTTAAAAATAAATTTCTTAAAATTTTTTTGTGATGTATGGAACAATTTAGTAAATGTGTTCAGCGCCTTAAAAAACTATGGAAATAAATTATACCTATATATATATATATACATGGGGCATTCCATCCCAAGTGTGCCACTCGAAAATTTTTGGATTTTTGATTTGGCTGAAATTTTGATATACTATAGTACCCATCACAAGAAGCTACCATGATTTTTTTCGAATTTTTTTATCAACATAGTCATGAGATGAATTTTTTTCGAAATTCGCAATTTTCAAATGCTTATAACTTTGCGAAAAATAATCCAAATAAAACGTTTTTTTTTTTTTAAATTGTGTGTTTTATCCTCTAGATTTAAAAAAAAGTATCAAGAAAAGTATCAAAATTGTTTTTTAATTTAATGTAAAAAATTATTAATTTTTTAAAGTATGACACGTTTAATTTTCTTAAAAAATTCTCATAAAAACTTAGATTTATTTGATGATTTTTAAGACTAATTTGATCGTGGGCAAATTTTTCCTTCTATTTTTTTTCGAATTAATTTTTTTCAATTTTGCATTTTTTTACATGATAAAATAATATATAGATATAAACTCGTGACATTTTCATTTCCTAAAATTTTCGGTTTATTCTCAATATAATAACATTTTTTTATATTTACCTATTTAAAAAAAAAGTGTTTGCGTAATTGATATTACTTTTATACTAAAATTATCGTTTTCTTATTATGAATTTTTTTACAATATAATTTTTCATTTTTATAAATTGTTATTATTGTCCCCAATCTTATTTGTAAGAATACGGCTACACTTCTGCATGCAAGAATTAAGCTTGCATGTACAATTACTAAATTTGATTAGTTTTGCCCATAGAAACACAAAACATAGTAGGAAAGTTTTATGGGCAAAACTAATCAAATTTAGTAATTCACAGAGCTGCTCTGTGAAATTGGCACCCCTAAACGCGAATTTTGGTAAAATCATTATTGCATTTGTTTGTCCACTGTTTGTTCACGTTTGTCCACCTATTATTTTCGATTGTCCACCCTATTTTTATTATATTTTTCATATTAATAAAAAATAATCATTTGGGGGTACTACAATTTTTTTTGTTTATAACTTTTTTTTGGAGGGTGGACAAATAAAAATAATGGGTGGACAAACATGGACAAACAGTGGACAAACGAATGCAATAATGATTTTACCAAAATTCGCATTTAGGGGTGCCGACTTCTCAGAGCACATACAATATATTCGTTTGGCTTTGTGTAAAAATTCAATCAACTGTATCTATTATTCATAATTTAACAATAATATACAACATGATATGTTAATGATAATTGTTTCCTATGTTTGTAAAATATCTTGAAAATGTAAACTTAAAAAGACACATGTACTCTCGTTTGAAAAGAATAATACCTAAATTTAACTTTATACACGATCGTATTTTATTTTTTTGTTTTCAACAATTATGTGTGTTTTGCAAAATGAATTTTCATCATTTTTGTTTTGTCGTATTTAAAATTGATCCAAGTATTCTTTTATGTGTAGGTCCACCACCGGTTCATCAACTAATAAGGAACGATAAGACTGAGAAGCCGCCGTCGGTAACGGTTTCGAGTGCACCGACATTTTCATCGGTCCTTAGGCCGGAAGACGGACACCGTGGAATAGAATCCCCCCATTCGCAAACCGGTATGTACTCGTCAGTTTTCATCGGTTTTCAGACTTACGAATTGTCCCTCTCTCTCCCGACAACGTTGCGAATCACTCGAATTTAGCTGCTTATGAAGATTCGTATGAGAAGAAAGGGATGGACAAGACGTCAGAAAATATTCTAATATTGCGAAGATTGAATAATTGATAGTTTACTATAATTGCTACAAAATTGGGCAATATGCTTTTGCCAATGTATTAACCACATTCCAAATCATTAGAAGTATAGAAATAAACGTTTAATAATTCACATATAATTTGTATTTAAGCTTTTTAATTTGACGAAGCAGGTTTATTACAAATTATGGAAATAGATTATAAATAAATTTTATATGTATCTAACGGGTTTTAAAAAGTAAAAATTTTGGAAATATTTTGAAATGCCATTTTACGAATTTATTTTTTAAAAATATATTTGTAAACCTGCTTTATCGAACTAAGGCAATTTTATTATCGAGAAGAAGATATAAATTTCAATTGCTTTATGAGTTCTCATGTGTTTATATAATATTTTATAAGATATAGCTAATTAAAAAATTGCGATTAATGATAAATAATTTATATCATTTTTGAGCAGCTACAGCTTATAAAAATCGCTTAAATCTAGAAATACTTGATTTAAATAAAACATTAAAAGAAGAGGAGTTACTGTTGCTTACTGGTAATAGAATTGAAATTATAATAGTGAGCAACGCGTGTACTAATATCGTATCAGTAAATATTTCCACGGAGATGTTTCTCGATAAATACTGAAGATTCGTAGAATTCTAATTATGATTTGAAACAAATCATCGAAGTGCGACATTAACGATGTTTGCAACGTCGAATCACGATCTCTTTTCGGTACGTTTATTGAGGTACGTTTATATGTAAGATACAATACAGTTTTAGAATCCTTTCATTATTGCCCTTTCCATACACTTTCTCCTTCTTTTTCCCTTCTACATGCGTTCACAGATTTGAAACGCATGTTTAGTGATTAATAATTTTTAACTATTTAACTCTAATACGTATCTAACAGAACTCACGTCGATCATTCTTGTAAAGTAATTAGTGCGCTTATCGACATATACTTATAGTACTGGACGGAGTATAAAAAGGAAATCATCTTAACAGATCTAGAAAGGAAAAATATATATTATATATAAATAGTAGTGGTCATGTAATCAACAATGAAACACTAGTTAGTAATTTTATTTATTCATGAATTAAATAATACATCTGTGTTCAGATTATTGTTGTGTCCGCCGCGATCCTCCGCAGTCTCGGGTGTCGGCGACATTTTTTTCTCACACGCACATTTCTCACTTACATGATAAAGAAACATACAATGTTTCAGAAACTGAACTTGTTTATTAGAAACGGAAATGTAACAGAAAAACAGGAAATAATTACGGAACACTGAAATTTGTTGACGTCCAGCGTAAAGTATCAAACTACGAATTGATGATTATGATGAACGGTTGCCTGGTTCTATTTCAACTAATCAATACAGCGAATCCATCGTGACTGGTTGAATCGGACGACTATCAAACGTAATCAATTCGTAATTTAATACGGGCTTAAGGCGTTTTCAACAATAAAACAGTTGTTCATTGTCTGGGAAATGCGTCTGCTTCATGCTGCTTACTCGAATCGACATGAACCCAAGAGCAATTCGACACACGCTTTGTCTAACATTTGTCCCTCTTCCCTCTCTTTTTTCTAGATTGTCTCAACAGTCCTCTGTTACAGGATTCTTCCCCGACGCAGATTTCAGAAGACCAGAACGATTTCCTGTCTTATTTCCTGTTTTTGCTGCAGGTTATCAGGTTTTGTTTTCTTGACTCTAATCTGCTCTTTGTTAAAAAATCAGAATCCCTCTGTCTCGCTGCGGTTGACATGTTTCTCTCCCACATTCGTTTTTTTTTTCACGTCTCTTAATCTTTAGAAGGGAATAAAGCTCTTTTATATGAGGATTCCGATTGACCACGTTGCGATTGAACTACTCATAGTGATCGATGCCTTTCCACTTGCTCAAACGCTGTAAGTGTTCAATTGTAATATATCCAATCGATATCCACCTCCTTCTATTTACCGTGGATTCAACACATTTTAAAAAGCTGTGCAGATTCTTGCCTCAGCGTTCGTTCACAGTCTCATGAAAAACCACAAATCGAAAACCGTGGGCGAATAGTCTTCAGTGAAATAAATATTACGTACATATATATACATATATTTATTTTGATCTTCGATATTTGGAAAAATCTTTTTTTGTTTAGATTTCAGGTTTATCCCTTTTGTCCAGGTTTCTTTCAGAAAACTCCAAAAATTTTCTTTTGGAGAAGCTTTTTACTCTGGAATATCAGATTTGATCTGATAAAGAAATATTTTCAGTGCGATAACACTCTTACTGAACGTAATATATTTTGCAATTACAATTTATTGAATTTTGATATCTCGTCTCACATCTCTACCTTGTCTCACATCTAACGATTAACATTTTTTATTGGGTTATCACCAATTTGACTCATGTAATGTTTTTTGTTTAGTATTGGAATATACAAAATCACATAAAAGATGAATTACATGTTTAATGAATTATTCAAAATTTTTCCTCTTAAAATCACAATAGAAAGGATGAAAAAAAAAACTAAAATTGGTGGTCACTCAATTTATGGCGTTTATATAAGGATTACAGATTTTCCGAATTTCACTGAAAAATAACCATTCACCATAAATTTGAATAATTTATTCAGCACACAGTTTTTTTCTTACGTGATTCTGTATTTTAAATACTAAATAAAAAATACTACATGAACCAAATTGGAAGCGACTCAATAAAAGTATTAATGATAAATTTCTTCTCACTAACACTGTCCTCACTTTATACTTTCTTCCTCTTCTCACGAAAATTCTTTTTTTTTAGAACACATTCCTGTATTATTTTAATAATCCTATAAGCTTTGCTATCGCATTTTGCGATTGAATTTTCTAGGGGTTAGTGTTGCTCAATGTTTATTTTAAAATTAAATTCGGGATAAACTCGGAGTATATGTATAAATTCGGGATCTGTGTGTTAATTAATAGTTATCTATATATTTTAATAAATAATTTTGAAATAGAACAAAATCATATTTTATTCGTTTGAAAGCGAACTTTAATAAATTACTCTCTTATAATTGAAGAATTAACTCTCTCTCTTATATTTATAATTAATTTAAATATACAAATTACGTACAGCTATACATATAGACATATATGTATACATATATACAATACATATGATATATTGGGTTGAAGGAAAAGTTCTGCGGTATTTTATTAGCTCAAAATTGTATATTGCACATTTAAAAGATCAACATCATTCGTTAGAGCAAAGTCTAATCTTTAAAAATCTGATTTTTTAATTGTGGTACGCTGATTTTTAATGGAGTTATGAGCTATTAAAATCAAAATGTTTGTTTATCGCCTTCTTGATCAAAAAGGCAAGAGAAAAACAGTGACAAACAGCAAGAAACAGGTAACAAAAAGCACATTGTAGAATTAGTCTTAGGAACAAAAAATATAAACATTTTTTAAAAACAAATTTGTAGGAAAGAATTTAAGTTTTTACGTTAGATAGTCGAAAATTTTTGCTAATTTTTTTGGTACATGACAGATCCAAGTGAGAAGAAAAAATTTCCTTTTTTTCAGCTTATAGTTTTTTCTGTAAGTAAAAGTTATCAAATTCATATAAACTAAAAAATTATAAGAACTTTTTTAAAGTAGAGATTTCAAGCTTTAAAACTTTTTTTTTTTTAATTTAAATTTTGTTCATTTTTGACGAAGATACTGTATATGATATATAGTTTTGAGCTAATAAAAACCGCAGAACTTTTTCTCCTCTAATGGTTTATCCTGTATATGTATACATATATCATATGTGTTTATAAATACATAAATGTATTTTTCTCAATTAACGCATCTTGACTTAATTTAAATGTAGCAAATTAATTTACATATTTTTAGTATTAATAAATAATTTAATTTTTGTAATTGCATATTTTTTGTTGTCATGATAACCTCATAATTTAAAAAAATTAAATTATTTATTAGCACTGAAAATATGTTAATCGATTTGCTACGTGTCAAGTTAAGATAAACAGATAGACGTAGCGGAGTTCTATATTTTTCTCGTAAATAAAATACCATTCAAAATAAAATAAATGTAGAATTATAAAAGATTTTTCAACTACGTTCTAAATAAAATAAGAGTGAGCTTTCAAAATTAAGTTTTAAGATAAATTAAATAAATAAATATATGCTTAAATATAATACTTGTTGCAAATTTGTCGTAATCATTATTAAAAAAAAACATAAGATGTGTGTGTTTGTATGTGTGTGTGTGTGTGTGCGTGCGTGCGTGCGTGCGTGCGTGCGTGCGTGCGTGCGTGCGTGCGTGCGTGCGTGCGTGCGTGCGTGCGTGCGTGCGTGCGTGCGTGCGTGCGTGCGTGCGTGCGTGCGTGCGTGCGTGCGTGCGTGCGTGCGTGCGTGTGTATTATTAACTTTCTGCTAAGTTGCTGTGATTAATAACGAATTTAAACTATAACATATATGATACCGGTAAGTTGTTGGCTAGTGCTACATAAGTTGTTATGCCTTATAGATATCAATCTGCTAACCAATATGGACTCATAACCAGTTGCTACATTTCTGGTAGCAACACATGTTATGATTTGTCAGTATCATGTCAGCGACGATATAGACACATTGCTACCGGAGAAGTTAAGCCTGAGACTCAATTTAATAACACAGACAAGGAACAGAGAATAATTCAACCTATCAGAAACCATGTACGCTAGAATGCATCGTTTCTAATAGATTAAATATATATTATTCCTTGTTAAATTAACAAATCAGAAAGGTCAATAAACACGAGTAATTTTTATTTAGGTCTTTAAAAAGTCAAATAAAAAAACAGTTAGAAACAAGAATCAAAGAGCATCTGAATAATATAA